AGTTCAGTTTGTTCTCTTAGAGGATGGTGAGAAAAAAGGTTGTTGGAGCCCAGCACGCAACTCAAAGCTTCTAGAGCTGGGAGGGAATTGCAAAAAGAAAAGGCTTTAATGCTTTTATGCTGATGTAAGGAAACGGTGTGGTTGGATCAAATCATTCTTTCTTTGTACCAAGTTGTTCACCTGGTTCTCAGTAACAAACTATGAGCTAGAACAGTCTTTGGAGAATCAAAAAAGCTGCAAACACAATTGTCAGTGAAATCCTTTCTCTTTCATCCTTTTTGCAGTCTCATGTACCACCATTTTATCGACGCGTGAAGCCATGTTTTAAAAAAGGAGAAACAGGAATTTGCAGCTTCCAAAACATTCCCATTCCTGACACAGAAATGGAAAGTGCTCGAAACTGTTTTCTAGAAATAAATGAGCTGTCATTGATCATGATGAAGATGTCTCAAGTGTACTTTTTCTGAAGTACAAAAAAGTAATAAAAATATTTTGTATTTTCAGTATTAGTCATAGGGTCTTTTTGTTTCCTCTCCTGTTGTTTTCTGCTTTGGTTTCAATGGGCCATTTATCAGTTTGCTGAGAATAATCCTCAGACCTGTTTTTATCCTTTTTAAAAAAATTGGTTTATTTCTATTTAAAAGCATATAATTTCAGATTGAATCAGAAAAGGTTATTTTTTTTCTCTCCGTGTCTCTAGTATTTAATATTCTGTTCTTTCACTTTCTCTGTCTTAAACCTTTTCTTATTTTGCGTCTCATTCTGGCACTGCTTTGTTTCCTCCTTTGTGTTTCTGTTCTGATCCCCTTTTCTTTTTCTCCACAGATATGTTAAGACACCGAGTTATTTGCTCTCAAAATGTGTGTGATGGATTGTTTGAGAGGGTGTTCAGATGACAGTAATTTCCAAGTTATCTTAAAAATGAGGGTGATTTAACAGGCTGGACAGTATAGTTTGCTATCCCTGCTCAAAGGGAAATCGCAGAGGTATTTTTCCTTGGAATTATACTATGGTTTGCACTGAACGCCAACGTGTGTAACATTAACTGTGGTCGTGCAAACAATATACGGTGGCGTAAGCACTGCTTAGATGGAGTGTGAGGTGGTTAACTTTTTCTGTGAACTGCTCGGTGTTAGCAAAAGCGTTATGTGCCAGAGATGCACGTACTTCCCCTATGGTTATAAAGTGCTGTTTACTTTTTTCCTGCAAACACAAAAGCCAAGTGGGAAGGGATATTTCATAAACTCAGTGCTATTGTGTCCTCTGGTCTAAGCCATAAAACAAGAGTAACAGAGACGTTCCCTTTGAACTTGAAATCCCTTTCTAAGCTGCTGATCTAACCTAAGTGAGAGGGGGAGACTATACCAGCCAGAAAATTTTTCTCTTCTGGGTATTTCCCCCCCACCCCCCGGCCTCCTTTCTTTTTTTAAAGTCCTTAAGTGAGTTTGATGCTGCACCTCTGCCCATAAATTTAAAAAAATATTATCGTAATGTAGGTCAGTGAACTGAAACGCCACTGTACACCATGGGGGATTAAAGTCAGAGAGGCAGCCCTCTCCCACTCCTACTAGGTCATATGACAATATAAACAAGAAATGCAAGGAGCCTTCAGCTTTTTCTTGCCCTAATCCTTTGTTTATGCAGCACTTAAACTGACTTTTGGGGTCGTCTCTGTCTGGCATTAAAGCCCTAAAGCTTTTTGAAGTTTCCCTGAAGTTAATAAAATTAGTCTGCCCTCATTGCTAGGCCCCTTGCTGCTGCTTCAGAGCAGACTGCGTATCCCTTACTGTCTTTGCGGCATTTGGCTTTTTAAGTTAATAATATTTTATAAAAAAAAAAAGAGTGTTTGAGAGAAAAGCAGAAAGATCTCCCAAAAGGCTGTTCAGCTAATAGGCAAAGTGATTGCCATTGTAGATGTTCTGCGAACTCAAAGGGGATTAACCTAAAATCCAGCGATTCGAGGTAAATTGCTGGTAAAGTAATTGGAAGTGTTGAGTTTCAGTTGGAGAGAACAACATGCGTTTCTGTGCCTTTTTACAAAGCAAGACAAAACCAAACATTTTTCTTTTATTTTTCTAACGTGGTCTCAAAGTTGAGAAAACGAGGTTTCCTTCGTAGCACTTCTCTCTCCTTCACCCATTTATTTTACTGCAAAGGCTGATCAGTTATCTTAGTTCTTGTTACATCGGGCGTTCTCTTATTATTTAGTCATCTTCAGGGATAAATTGGTGATAGGATAACTGGGGGGATGGACGACATGGGATGAGATGTATAGTATTCAGTGTATGAGACTGAGACTTTGGGTTGTAAATTAGGTTTCCTTCCAAACGGTGCCTCAGGCAAGTCACTAATCACTTATTATCTCAGCACCCCTAAAGCAGCTGTTTTTCTAATGGTCTATAGAGATGCCCCAGAAATAATGGTGATATGGACAGAACATATCAATCAGCTAAAGGAGGAATTTTTTAACAAGTTGACCATTGGAGTGAAAGGAGCAGTGCAGCTGGAGCCCTTGGTTACTTCCATAAACTATTTAGACAAGAGCAAGACCCTAAAAAGCACACTTAGTTAGAAAAGATGAGGGTTTTTAAAATCAAAAGGTGTTAAATGACTATGGCATACCTGAATGGTGATCGATTTTGTTGCTGTTATAGTTATCAATTGTAGGTTATCGCTAGCAGTTTACTCAAAGGTATCTGATGCCTGTACCACTTGTTCGCAGAAATCATTGAGGCTTTTCTGACAGCCTTGCTGGGGAGGCTCTAAACTTGCACCGTGCTAGCCTAGGGTGATTGCTCACCCTGTAATTCCATTCTTAATTAAGTTAAGGATACCTTTGAAGTGCTCTTGGAAAAATAAAAGATGTTTATGTTGTTTTTAAAGTTGGCTTCCTGTGCCATTTTGGGGGCATAACTACAAAAATAATAGATACATGGAGGATCCTCACTGGAGTGTGAGAGACGGTCTGTATTTCAAACACAGGGGCGAGAAGCGCATAGCCACTGGTGAAGGAGAGGAATGTTCAGTTTTGAAATTCTCATTTTAGGAATAAAAGATTTATAGGAAGAAGTAATATTTTTATTTCACTAGCTAATGCAACTGAAAAAATGAAGATGGTTTTGAGAATGTAAGTGCTTCTTCAGGTTGGAATTAACATCTTCTTTTTCTGCTAGTCTTCTATTTCAGACCCGAAGAAAGGCAAGTGTGTGCCTGAAAGCTTATCTTCCCCCTCTACCACCACCTATTATCAGTGGCTCTAGTAAAAGACGTTATTCAGTTTTAAATTTAAGCCAGAGGTTGCCAAGCAGTGATGCTGCCTTCCTTGGCTCACAAGCTTTCTTGAAGCAGTGCCTGTTGAGGGGGTGGGTAGAGGACAGGCACACAAAAAAAAAAAAAAACCTGAAACATGACCTTTTGGGAAAAGATGAGGAGTTGGATGTTCAGGAAGTAAATGTTGTTGAGGCATCTAAACGCTTCTGCCTACAGCCTTGACTCTGTACCCAGCTGGCAGCACAGCTGCTTGTACATTTGTCATCTCATAGAATGGTTTGGGTTGGAAGGGACCTTAAGGATCATCTAGTTCCAACCCTCCTGCCCTGGGCAGGGATACCTTCCACTAGACCAGGTTGCTCAAAGCCCCATCCAACCTGGCCTTGCACACCTCCAGGGATGGGGCATCCACAACTTCCATGTGAGAGAAGAAAGAAGGGCTGTAGAGATTTCTCGTGCTGCATGTGGTCTGGGACAGGGTGAGGTCCTGCCAGTGCTCTCTAATATTGCACAGCCATTTCCAAGGCTGTTCATAGCTGAGCAAGTAAACCCCATTAAAAGTAAAACAAAAATCAAATTTCTGATGCTAGACTTACAGAGATTGGCGTTAAAATAGAGGCATACGTATGTAATGAAATAATAAACAATGGCTAGGTATTTGAGTCTGTGTATGCACTACTGTCTATGGAGGAGGCTTCAGGGAAGGAGAGTAGCTTAATAAACCAGCGATACTTTGAGCCATCATTTAAACTGAATAAAGGGGAGCGTTCAAAATTGGTTATAATTCTTTACTGTTCTAAGTCTCTTTGGTCTTTGAAGACCTTAGGTTTCTTTAAAAAATTGCTCCCAAGATATGAAGAGCCGTAACTTTTGCCACCAAAAAAAAAAAAACAACCAAACACCAACTTGAAAAGATTGAAGTAGTATCCCCTTATTTCTTCTGATGAGTAAATAAATGTTCTTGCTGCGACTATGAGGTAGACTAACTCCAGGCGTTAGGTATATGAGGATATTCACACCTACAGGATTAGGCTCACTTGACTGCACCTTATACTTTGTAATGCCTGAGGGAGGGTTGTTTATCTTGCCTTACGCACCAACCTTGCTGCCTCTTGTTCCTGATAGCTTAATTAAGAATTCAACTTGGAATGGTTCTTCCCCACTGGGTTACAAACCTTGAAATTAAAATTGGATACAATGGTCATAAGGCTTTTAGTTTAACAAATCAGTGTGTGTGTAAAGGTGAATATTTAAAGGCTCTATTTAGAAACTCTGAGTAATTCTGTCATTTCTTTGGAAGTGCGGCTGTTGGAGTGCAGGTCTGGAGCTAAGAGACAGAATGTTTATGTAGGCGATAATGTGCTTAGCTGTAGGATAAGTAGTGGAATAAACTTTTTGTGAGCGTAGGTACTTAAGTGACTTTCATGGAAATGTTTCAAAGTAGAAAAGAGATTTTAATTAACTGATCTTTACAGCATGTTCTGATGCAGGTTTGTTCTCCTGTATTAGAAGAAAGGAAGCAAAAGCAGAAATACATTAATTCAGTCTTCTATGGTTTTAGACACAAATTGCCTGAAACTCAGCAGTTTTGATGACTCATCTAGAGTTTTGTTCGTTTGGGGGTAGATGGTTTTCTAAGGGCAGGGTGGTAGAAGTCACCAAACTTAGTGTACTCCTAGGTAGAATTTTTCTTGTCACTGTATACTCATGAAGCCCTGTTTCTTTTGCAGGTGATGGATGATTACAGCGTGATTGGTCGTTCGTTGTTTAAAAAGGAAACAAACATACAGATTTTCGTGGGTCTAAAAGTCAAACTATCTACAGGAGAAGATGGAATAATAGACGGTGGTTTTGGACAAAGTGGCAAATTTAAAATCCGAATTCCAGGTGGGTGCTTATCAGCTAACAAATACTAATCTATGCCAAGTGTAGAGCATCTTTCCATATTGCAAGTCTGTTACCAGTAGTTTGCTGAAGCTTTGAAATGAGCTCATACCCAGTTGGACCACTGATGATTTGGTGGATTATACCTCTTCTACTGAAATGATGGTGGCTGTGGCGTGTATTGTGAGACTGAGCGGCCTGAAGCCACATCTCCTGTGTCAACAAACTCGGGTCTCAAAATGCCACCTTGTTAAATGTCAGTAACATAGAAATCATGCTCTGCCCAGAAAGGTTTGTGGGAATCTCTCTCCTCAACATAGGTATGATTTGCACCAGAGTCCTTCTGAACTAATAAAGGAAAGCAAACCTGCAATCATTTTTACCTGTAGCTACTTATTAAATATAGTATAGTGGATGCAAGTTCCTTAAATTGGCTCTGTTCTGCATGTTATTACCTACCTTGCCTTGAAGCAAAACCTGCTTGATAAATGAGTTTTTAGAGATCTTGAGAGGGGTGGTTTTTTATTGCTTGTGTCTCCTGGTTTTATGATAATATATATTACTGTATATTTCATCCTTGGTGAATTACAGCAAGGATTTATGCCTCCTTAGGTTAGAGCATGGGGAATGATGGGTGCTAGAGTTTAAAAGTGCTATTATAGGGGGGTTTTGCCCTTCTTTTAAGGTAGCAAAGTTGATCTGAGCCTTTTCAAAAGGCAGTAATAGGTGATGCATTTAACTCGGATTGTGGGATAAGATTTAAATGATACTAGAACTACTTTGTATTTCTGTAGTGTCTTCAGTGCATTTGTCACTAGTTGATCCTCTGCCTTCTTTAGGGAGATACGTGAGATTTCTGTTGTACAAGGGGAGAAAAGAAATCATGATGTTCTATGACGGCAAAAAATCGCGTAGTGATTGATTTACAGAGAAAACTGAAGTTTCCTGATTTCTTGCTGCAAATGGACTATTTTCCATTTAACTTAAGGCTCAATGAAACTGCACTAATTTTGACCCTCAGCAAATTTCCTTTCGTCTTCTTATCACAAGATAAGAATTTCTGACTAGACAAAAAACCTCCTGTGTTCTGTCCAAGCTGTAATTCCAGTTTTGTCATTGAATGCTAGACTTTGCAAATGGGTCTGAGAGCCTAATAGGCAAGCACAGTGCATATTTAAAGAAAAGTTGCACCGGATAAATATATGTTTTGCATTTTCTAGTATAGAAAAGCTTTTAAGCGTTCACTGAGATATAGGTACCTTTAGATAGGTGGTGAAATGATGTGTAAATGACCTTAATGCTGAAAAGGGTTCAAGCTGAAAATCAAGATGATATCTTGCTTAAAAATGTAGCGTTCTTAGGAGCTTTTCTTTCCCGGAGGCAAAAATATGGTGAAAAAGAGCAACAGGAGGATGGCATTTACGTTGCTATTTCCACGTTTTGGATGGAGGAAGTGGTTCTTCATGGGACGGGGAGAAGCCTAATAAAGAGTCTTTATCACTGTTGTGGATGTAAGCAGGAACTACAATTGCAAACCAGCAGTAATATTAAGAAAGTCATACACAGATTTAGAAAATTGCTTTTTGCTTTGTATCTTGAGTTAGTGGGAAGAAATGATACCTTTCACCAAGGTTTGTTATCTAATCTTGGTTATGCTCTTCTGATGTTTAACAGCAGACCATGAAACAGAGGACCCTTTATAGTTTGTTCTTTCAATGAGAAGAACATGTAGCGGAATACTAGAATTTAATACCTCTCTAAGGTAGGCAGAATAATATGACTTAGTTTGCTTTGCTTTAGTCTGGGTCAAACTTGGGTACTCTTGATGTCTGGAAAGAAGAGGCAATAAGCTAAATTAGCTCAAGCTAAGAGTATCAAACAACGTGTGGCTAGCAGGGGAAAGAACTGCAGTATCTGGAAGGGCCTAAAAACCTGTGTCTTTAAGAGTTGCAGAGATTTGTGTGTAGGGGGAGGGCTATTGCTGTGATGCTGTTTAAGTCAACTGCAGTTCACATTCCTTTGTTAGGTCAGTGTTGCTTTTTTAATGTGTCTGCATCCTGTTTGTGGGGTTTTGGTGGAGTGTTTTTTTTATTAAATTTAACTGATCAGACTCTTCTCTTCCTTCCCTCCCCATTCTTCAGCCTTGCCTCTCCTCATACAGTCTCTCTTACAGATTTCTTTTGCGAAGAGCTCCTCTTAATTTTTCAGAAGTTGTTTCCCTGCGATTCCTTCACAAATGTATTGGGGAGTGGGATGGAAGGGAAGGAAACATGCAAGTTGAGAACTGCCTTGGACTGCCTCAGCCTGGCAGTCAGTCTGTCCTCTTATATTTAGAACCAGTCTTAACCTCTGGAATTGAAGAGCTTGTTCGGGTGGTTAACCTGATGATACCTGAGGGCTGGCTTTAGAAACAAACCTCTACTTAGCAATAAAAATCAGGTAGATATATCAGAGACTTGTGGCCTGACTGCTTAAGGTAATAGCAGACCAGGGCACGTTGTAGGGTGTTGCGTGGTCCCGCTGGCGCCAACAGCCTCCAGCACCGTGGCTGCTCACATCAGCAAGCGTTGGGATCCCCAAGTGTTGTTCCATAGTCACTTGGGAAATGGCTTGTGTTTGCCTATAGATCACAGCCTGGGAACGTTGTCTTACATCATCTGTGGGCTGAAACTTGGCAGACCTCACAACTGGGAATGGCAGAACACGGGTCTGTTTCTTATTCTGGCAATGGTTGTGTGCAGCAATAAGTCAGATACTTCTCTCTGCTCTTCTGCTCTGTGAAACGGGGATAATTACTATCCATTCTGAAAAAAAAAAATGCAATCTCTGATTTATATTTATTCCAGACTTGGAGTATTAATATTTCTTGAAAAGGCTTAATTATCTTTCTTTAGAGTACAAAAAACACATCTAGAGTACAGCATGCAATTGGAAGTTCCTCCGTTGCTGAAAGATGTCAGCAATTTGGAAGAAATTCAGGGAAGAGCAGTAAGAATGCTGGAGAGGCTGAAGGGACTGATTTATGAGGGAAAGAAGATGAAAAGAAATGCATGAAACTTGGCTAAATGATGTCTAAGTGGGAGATATGATTATCTGCAAGTATTTGAAGAGCATAATGGAGAAGAATCCCTCAGGGTGGTCCAAGGAGGTAGAAGTAAAGCTAATAACATGAAATAAAGCAAAGTGTAACTTGACTATTGAGAGATGTTATTTTGCAGAGACTTCTTGCACTGCCAGATCATCTATGTGGAGGAATAAGTTGTAGTTCCATTTTGAGAATACTTGTGTAGTTTGCCTGGGTGTTTGCTAGTGGCTGTGTCGGAGTAAAACAGGCAGGCAAAGCAGCAGGGTGGTGGAAAGTAGAAGGACAATGTATTTTTCATCTTATTTCTGTGTTCAGGCATGCTTTTATTGCTTGAATGACAAGGTATAACCTACTTTCTAGACTGTTTGCAGCAGCATCTAGTTTAAAAAAAAAACCAACAAAAAATTCTGGCAGATCTGGTATTCTGTAGGGTTAGATTGTGGAGCTGTTTGTGTTTTAACTGAGGGAAAAGTTTCAAGGTGTGTTAATCGACAGGATGATGCTTACTTTCCAGGCTGGTTGTATGATCAAATACATAAAAAGGAGGACATAATCTCTAAACTCATAAGAGTTTTGCTTAGTTTAACAAGATGCTTAAAAAAACAAACAGGATTTGAAAGGCAATTTAAGCTACAGTGCTTTGTAAGTTACGCTTGTGTGTGTGTGTGAGGCAGCGAGCTATTGATGAAGTGCTTCTTGCTGAGGTGGGTGATGTGTGGCGGCTGTTTTCGTTGTAAATGGGAACACTGCATTATGTAGTCAAGGTAAATGAGTGAAATGTACTGTTCACCTTTGAAATCAAGAACAAGTTTGGGGAGGCAGGAACTGTGTGTTTAAATGTCTTATTCTAAAGAAGACAAAAGCTAACAATGATAGTCTTTAGAAAATGCTTATTTCAACATACATTGCACCTAGGAATGTCATGCCAGATGATAAGAAATTCAGAGGAAAGTTCAGTGAATCGTTTGAATAACATACTACTAATTGTGGATTTTGTTTAACTGTCTCTCACCCAAGAATTGACCCCATAAAACTCTGCTTGGTTTGCAAAATCATGATCTGTTGATGTGCCTCATGACATATTTTAAAAGATTGGCTCTAGATATGCCCGTTTCATTGGTTTTGGCATGTTGCATTTGTCTTCTGCTTAATTATAAAATGTAGTGACTTTTAAAATCTAATTGGAGCATATGTGATATCTCAGGCATAGTTCACTTTCCTTTCTGTCTTTACCATCTAGTTGCTGGTAAAGTGTTCGTCCTTTCTGAGGCACTGCGGTGTGTTTGACTGCAATTCTTTTCTTCTCTTTTTGACTGGATACAGTAAAAATTGCTGTATGTGAAATGAATTAAAAGCTGCCTTATTTCCTAATGCGAAAGAAGCAGTGCATATCTAACAGTCATAACAGCTGAACACGCTTCTGAATTGGGCAAATTTAAATGTAATAAAAGGTACACTTTTCATAAGAAGAGATACAAATGAGAGTATTAGAATACAAGCTTTATACTTTGCTGTTCTTTTTACCTGTACAGGATAATGGTAGTTTTAAGTTTCTTACAAGAGGTGAAGACAAACTTGTTTTTGACCTTGTCTTTTGTTGCCAGTAACTTTTTGCCTTGCTTTGTTAGTGTTGTTGCATAGGAGAGAGAAAGTTTTTATATTTTGTCACATACTTGTTTCGTTGGATGGGATCCCACAGTGATTTGCAAAGTGGGAAAGCTGTGATGTAAGAGCTGCGGGTGAACAGCACTATTCTACATAATTTCAATTCCAGTTAAAAATTGTGGATTTAAAAGTGGGATTCAAACTGGTTATTTTTGAGCACTCCACTTAAGCAAGGAAGTTTAATAGAGGTTAAATAGCGTGACAGCAATTAGAGCAATACAAAGATGGAAAAATGCAACAGTAAAAAAATTTG